GGAAGATCTCTGCCAGGGTTTGGGATACTTGCTTATGTCAAGAGCAGGAAGAGGGTGATGTTCCAACCGTCTGACTTCTCCATGAGTGAGACGATCTGTGTGGGATCCAGGGTTGGCACTTGTGGAACCGTGAAGCCTAAGATTTGAACTCAACATCCCTTGTCCCTAATTCAAGTCCTAAGCACTAAACCCCATAGGCTGAATCCACCTCAAACCCTAAACCTTGCATATCCTACCCAGACACTATGACGTAGTACCTGTTGTTGGTTACGTTGGTGTCTTATTTTGGGATACTTGTTGTTGACTGCCTAGTCTCCTATTTTGGGATCCTAACTGCAAAATAGGAGAACCAAGAAAGGTACTGCATTCTAGGAAAGGCCCCTAAAGCCTAAACCCTAAACCTCGTGGCAGGATTCTTCAACGGCAAGCACTGGTGCAACGACTGCTTTGTCTGCAGCAGCTGTCACGTCAAGCTGGAGACTGCCTACACTTCACGGGCTGCTGGGAATCACAGCGAGGTCCAATATTAGGGGTTGGGACATTTGGCCATAGTAACCCGCTACAGTCCAAAAACCTTGTTCTCGTAAAAGGCCCATTATGTCTTGCCGCTGGTGTGCTAGGGGTTGGGTGTGCCCTAAAACATAAACCCGAAGCCTGAATCTTAAAACTCCCAGCTGAGGCTTAACCTTGCAAAGCACCTTCAACCCTAAGCCCTAAACCCTAAACCCCAAAACCTAAAACACTAATCCCTAAACCCTAAACCCCAAACCGGAACCCGAAGCCGCACTGAGGAGATGCCCGGCAAAATCTTCTGCAAGGATTGCCTCTCTCACCGGTGTCCCTCTGGCCTGTGCGGTTCAGATGCTGTCAGGGTTGAGGGCTCAGGGCTCCTAGGGAAATATTCAGGAGTATAGGGTTTAGGGTTTATGGTTTAGGGCTTAGGGCTTAGGGGCTTAGGGTGTAGGGCTTAGAGGGCTTAGGGGCTCAGGGTTTAGGGCTTTTTGGGCTTACAGGGCTTCTAGGGTTTAGGGCTTATAGGGCTTACGGGGCTCTTAGGACTCTTAGGGTTTAGGGGCTTATGGGGCTTTTAGGGCTCTTCGGGTTTAGGGTTGAGGGCCTTATAAAGCGTTGAGAAGCCCTTTGGGTTTCAGGGTTCCTTTAAGGGATCGAAAAGAACTCCTTTGAGGGCCCATGAGGGATCTATAAGGGTTCGGTGATAACGGTTTAGGGCTTTTTAGGGTGTTAGGGCGCTAGGGCTGTAGGGTGTTCGGGTTCGGGGCTTAGGGTGTAGGGGCTTTTTAAGGTTTAGGGTTAACATTTGCAAGACTTCTCTGCCCGTCCCTTTCATATGGCTTGGGGTTACTTAGGGCTTGGGGCTTCTGGGATCTTTGTGTTGAGGGTCGTATGGGATCCGGGGGCTTGGGGTGCTCCTTTACACTGGCCTGAGGGCATGGAATCATAGAGCGAATGCCGAACAGCACTGAAATGGGTTTCAGGGTTCCAGAATGAGCTCGTGGCCCCTGACCAGTTCCCCACCCTGCCGCGGAAGATCTAGAATCGCGAGTGTTGGACCTATAACTTGTGTATTGACGCTGTTAGAATCACTGTCCGATCCTTGCGAGCCCTGCCAGCCTTTTTGGTTAGACAACTTGGGCCTGGGGGTTTGGAGTTTAGCAGCTTGACTCTTATGAGTTACCTAGACCCCAAAGAACCTACCTTTTTAGGGACCTATATCTATTATAAGGAAATCATAATAAGGAACCCTAAAAAGGGAGGTTCTTAAGGGTCCAGGTAGTCTCTCTACAGCAGCAGTTTCCAAAGCTTCGACCTGTCATGCGGCAATCTGCGGACTTAGGCAGCACCTGCCAGAAGGTCATCCACGGGCGATCGATGTGCCTCGTTTGCTAAACCCTAAGCCCGAAATCCCTGAACCCCTAAACCCTAAACATCTAAGCTTATAAACCCTAAAGCCCGTGTTAAACCCGAAACCCAAAACCCCTAAACCCTAGCCGTAGTGACTCTTTCCTGTGGGGGTCGTATCTCGTGTTCCGAGAAGTGTACCTCTAAACGCTCGTCCAACTGCATCTGCCCCTTACAGAGCCCTGTTAGCCCTTCAACTTCTGGCCAAAACTCTCTTCCAAGCACCTACTCCTACTCGGTTTGAGTGTAATGTCCAGTGCGCATGAGGCCACAACCTGCTTCAAATCTCAGGGGACTTAGTAAGTATTGAGAAAAAGAAGTCCCCGAAGTGAGGTTACCCTAATTCTGACCTGACTTATAACTTTCCTAAACCCTAAACCCTAAGTCCCTTGGGCCTTTTTCGTCGTCTTTTTGCAGGGTTTGGGGTCTACCCGGATCTTCGGGGTCGTCCCCAACTCTTCGAGGTGGGGGAGACCCTTAAGAGGGGGTCCCTTTCTTAACCGTTTAGGGTTTAGGGTTTAGGGGTTTGGGGGTTTAGGGTTTAGGGGCTTAGGGGTTTAGAGTTTAGGGTTTAGGGGTTTAGGGGTTTAGGGTTTAGGGTCTGGCTCTCTTAAGAGGGGTTTTATTGAGAGGGTCTGTATCCCCAAGGGTCCCCCTAATCCTAAACCCCCACCTCCCCGACCTGAGGAACTTCGAGGGACAACACCACTGCCTCGCCCCTTGGTCGCAGCATTACTTTGAGTATCCTTAAGCCATGAAGATGGGAAATCTGTTCATATGGGGGGCCGGTATAGTTAGCAAAACTGTCCAGAATTTCACCGGATATCCATGTGTAATTACAGCATAGCATAATTACCCCCGAACCCTATTCGAATGTGTAAAGCTCCTTTGCGACATACCTTAGTCAACCCTTAACCCTAAGAAGGAGTGGGGGTTCGGCTTCAGGATTTGGGTTGAGGCGCTAATATGCGTTTTCATGATCGAGGTCAGTTGAGTTTAGGGGTTTAGGGTTTAGGGTTTAGGGGTTCAGGGGGTTTAGGCTTTAGGGTTTAGGGGTTAAGGGGTTTAGGGGTTTAGGGTTTACGGGGTTAGGGGTTTAGGCTTAGGTTTTAGGGGTTAAGGGTTTAGGGTTCAAACTGATTAATGGTTTCCGCCCGACGGGAACAAAACTGTCGGGCCTTCACAACAACAGAAAAAGCTGCTAGATCTTGCACCGTATTGTTCACGAAGTCGAGTAGGACTTTCTTGGAAGTACGTAGTACAACATAGTTACCTAAGCCCAACAACCCTAAGCCCTAAACCCTAAGCCCAAAGCCGCCCTCCGAGTTCCAACCTTCGGAGCGCCAGGAATGCTTCGTTTGCGTCCGTTGTGGCTTTGGCTTTCCAGATGGCCGGGTCTACAAGAAGGCAGCCCTTACGGTTTAGGGTTTAGGGTAGGTATGCATAGGACTTGGGGGGGGGCTTAGGTTTTGCGGCTCTGTTGCTTTTGGTCTAGGGTTGAGCGTTTAATGGCGTGTGCCTGGGTACTCGTTTGACTTGGTAATCCTGGTAGAGTAGGCAACTTTCAACCTCTTTCGGGTACTATAATCCATATGGGTGGTTGTCAAAATT